CCTGCCCTCTTCCCTCTTCCCACTGGTAACCACGAGTTTGTTCTCCCTATCTGTGAGTCTGTCTCCTTTTTGTCACATTCACTAGTTTGTTTTATCTTTTGGATTCCACGTGCAAGTGATACCATGTGGCGTTTTGTCCTTGCCTGTCTGCTTTATTTCATTTAGCGTAATACCCTCTAAATGCAGCCATCTGTATGCCTTTGTCCTCCTTTGAGAAGTTAGTAAAGTCTCCTCTGTTTATGGAATTTTTCAGGCTAGAATACTAGAGGGGGTTGCCTTTTCCTACTCCAGGGAATCATTCTGACCCAGGGATCAATCCCACGTTCTTGTGTCTCCTACATTGGCAGGCAGATTCTTTACCAGCGCGCCACCTGGGAAGGCCCTGAAGCATATTAAGCACTAAATAAATATTTGTTGCATGGATGGATGGATAGATGGATGGCAGGAAGGAAACATAAACATAAATGAGGCCAAGGAGATAAGAGCAGTTGAAGTTAGTAATGTTTAGCAAACACCTACCATGGAGATTCAGAGAGGAGTAGGAGGAGATTTTATTCATTGTCTACTTGGGAAGAAATAACAAATACTAAAATATCTGTAATATGTTGTAAAAAAAAAATGACATGCCATGAGAAGTTCATAAAAAGTGTTATGAAGGTTCAGGAGAAGTAGAGGTCCATTTCAGCTGAGGCAGTAGAGAAGTTGTCTTTGGAGCTAGACTCTCTGGAGTTGCTTATATTTGCTTCTGAATTATGTGGTTTCCAAAAAAAAAGTACATGAAAGTTGGGGCAGCGGGTGTTGTGGCAGAAGAGGGATGTGAATCTGAGACCAGACTGGATGGCTTTGCCTGCTCTGTCATAAATTTATCAGCATTTTGTATGCAGCCGTTTATCAGCCTCCACCATTTCTTGCAAGTAGAACCTGACGGGCTCTGATGTTATCTGTTCCAAACACCTTTTTCTTGTTTATGACAGTGTGTGTATGTGTGTTGACGTTTGCACCTGCACCCTAGTGATTTGGAGACAGTTCTTGCTACAGAGCCAGGCCCTAAAAGAGGATACATCAACTGAAACACACACTTTAATACCTTTAAAAACTTCTCCATGCTATCCACACACTTGCATTATGTACATGCACCTGCAGCTTGCACACACATAAGTGCACAGAGAGTTTTGTACACAGTGGCCTGGGCAAGAGTTTAGGCAACTATAGTTGAAGGTACTTACATTTATTTTCCTCAGCTCTATCCTATACCTTAATCTTCACTTCCACCTAAGGCTTCCCTGACCTTCTGGATTCTGTCAGGAGTTCATATAAGAAGATGATCCAGTCTACGGCCATACCACCCTGAATGTGCCTGATCTCGTCTGATCATGAAAGCTAAGCAGGGTTGGGCCGGCTTAATACTTGGATGGGAGAAAATGATTCAGTACCTACTTACTGATAACCACCGATGTGCCAGGCTCAACTGTAAACGCAGAGAATGTAGCATGGGATAAAAAGAACCAATACCTGCCCTCATGGAGTTTACATTCTAGGAGGCGGGTGGAATCAGCAGCCATACGGTGTTTTAGGTGGTGTGGGTGCTGGTGAGATCAACATAGCAGAGTAAGGGGGAGAGAGTGTGACGATCGGGCAGCCAGGAGAACAGTCTGTCCAGTAATGTGACATTTAAATAGTGACTTGATGGAAGGCATAAGCAATGGGAATATCTGGGGAAGGAGTATTCCAGGCAGAGGGAACAGCCAGAGCGGAGACCCCGAGGCAGGAGTGTGCGGCCAGCATGGCTGAAGCAGAGTGGGTGCGGCAGAGAGGGGCAGGGCTGAGGTGAGAGTGTGGGTGAGGGGTGTCGCCCGGGGCTCATTGGCCACTGTGAGGACTTCAGCTTTTCCTCTGAGTGAAGTGGAAAGCCAGAGGACACTTGGTGCAGAGAAGCGCTGTGCTCTGATTGACAGCAGCTTTCATGTCGGGAACAGACTGCTGGATGAAAGCATAGAAGCAGGAAGGTGGCTGAACGGTGGACTCAACCAAGTGCGTAACCGTGGAGGTGTGGAGAAGTGACCGGGTTGTAAATGTATGTTTACAACTGTTTGAACAAACCGGATTTGCTGTTGGGTTTAGGAGTCAATGACTGACATCAAGATTTTTGGCCTTTGGCCTGAGCAGCTGGAAGGTTGGAGCTGCTCGTAACTGAGATGGGAAACATTGAAGGAAGAACAGACTTGGAGGATAGGAAGAGCTCAGTTTAAAGGAAGTTTGTGATGCCAGGGCTTCCCTGGTGGCACAGTGGTTAAGAATCTGCCTTGCAAAGCAAGGGGCGTGGGTTCAAGCCCTGGTTGGGTAGCTAAGATCCCGCATGCCGTGGAGCAGCCAAGCCTGAGTGGTGCTACCACGGAGCCCTCGCGCACAGCTAGAGTCCATGTCTCGGTGAGAGATGTCATGCGACGCAACAAACTTCCTCATGCCCCAGCTAAGACCTGATGCAGCCAGATAAATAAACTGTATTTATAAAGAAAGACTTGATATACTATCAAGGGTGAAACAGATCACCAGCCCAGGTTGGATGCATGAGACAAGTGCTCAGGGCTGGTGCACTGGGAAGACCCAAAGGGATGGGATGGGGAGGGAGGCGGGAGCGGGGATCGGGATGGGGAACACATGTAAATCCATGGCTGATTCATGTCAATGTATGGCAAAAACCACTACAATATTGTAAAGTAATTAGCCTCCAACTAATAAAAAAAATAAAGACTTGAGATGCCTATTAGTGAGAAGCAGGTATGAGACTCTAGAGTTCTATAGATGGGTATGGGCTGGAGCTATAAATTTGCCGATTACAGCAGTTAGATGACTTTTAAACCTGTGAAATGAAATAGAATAACCTAAAAAGTGGATAAAAAGAGAAGAGAAGAGTCTAAGAACTGTGGATGGGGGCATTCCAGCCTTTAGAAGTCAGGGAGACGAGGAGGAACCAGAACTGGAAACTGAAAAAGAGAAGCTGGGAGATAGGAAAATTGAGAGTGAGCACTGAAGCCAAATGAAGAAAATGCTTCAAAGAGAATGGAATAGTAAACAGTTATCAGATGTTGCTGAGAGATCAAATCAAATCCAAAAGTTGCTTTAGAGTATTGAACTCTTTAAGACCTCTTTTGAGGGAGGTGGGGTTCGGGACAGCCTGCTTGTATTGCTTCCAAGAAAAGAATGGGAGGAGAGGAAACAATGATTAACACTATAGAAATCTCTGAGGTTTTTCGGTAAAGAGGAGCAGAAAACTGGGCTATAGTTGGAAGGGAATGTGGGATCAAGTCAAACTTTGCATTTTTTTTTTTTTCTGAGATGGAACAAGTTGGTGTCCTTGTGGGAATGATCCTAGGAGGGAGGGAAGATGCAGTGATTGCCAAGATACCGTGATGTCCCCATGTAGTGAGAGGGGGTGATGCTCTAGTGGAGGAAAGTGGGCCTTAGACTGGGTGAACTATCCATGCTGCATAGTAATAAACTACTTTGCTATAATGCAGGCAGATTGGTAAATACAGTAATGGAACATGTGTCGATTCTCTTCGGCTTGCTTGTATATTCTCATACCAAAAAGTGGAGGTGCTACAGGTTTAAAGAGTGCAAGGTTCAGATGATTGCCAAAGAGCAAGAGAAAATCACGGACCAGATAAATGTAGTCAGACTGTCGCAGCGTGAGGGCTCACTTGAGCTCAAGGTGAGAGCAGCCAACGTGGTTGTGTGATTTTCTCCAGCTCCGTACAGCCGAGTGGGAACAGGCAGAGTAGGCTAAGCATTAGACTTAGTCAAGGGTTATGGTTTCTCAGATAAAGAGAGGAAGAGAAGCAAGAGAATGATTATAATGATGGATCACAGGAACAAGGCAGGTAGAAGGAAGCGAGGATGGAGATAGAAGGTGAGGGGGCAAGGTGCCAGGATTAATGGAGTGGAGTCCCAGTGAGGTCTAAAGAACCGTGATGACAGTCAGATCCTTGGCATTAGTGGCACTTTAGGGTTGCATCATAGTGCTTTATGTGCAGTATAAACCCTATAAGGTAGGTAGGACAGTTGGTGATGGTATTCTATTCTATAGATAAAGCAGTGATTCTCATTCTATAGATAAAGCAAGCTCCAAAGAGGTAAATAACTTTATCTAAAAATCACACAGCTAGTCCGTGGTGAAGCATAGACTCCACCCGAGGCTGTTTTATTTTTGATATCTTTTTACCACTTTGTGTGATGTCTGCTCACAGATTCCTCAGTCTCACTGAAGAGATGGAATGTAGAAGACAACATAAGGAAATGCGTAACTGAGTGTTAAATTCCATAATATGGCATGACATGAGTTTATTCATTCAGTAATATATATTGAGTGCTTATTATGTATGGGGCTATATTATAAATACTAGGGATATAGTATTATCCACTATATATAGTGAATGAGATGGGGGAAATCCTGAAGTTATGTGCTTCAGGGAAGTTTTAGAAGGGTTTCTATGTGATTCTTCCAAGACATCATGATTGGGTAAAAGCACCAGTTACTGAAAGTTTGGGAACTTTTTTCTCTGCTACTTGCTGTATGTGACATTATTGCTTCCACTCACTCTGTCTTAGTGGGGGACTCCATCCATAAACTGAGATGTTATGGTTTTGCAAGTTCCACCCTGACTAAAAGTCCTGTGAGTTTGAGGCTGTATTATAGCTTGATGGGATAATTGTATAAAGTGTTTTAGTCCTCATCTGACCTCTTAATCTGAAAAGTGGAAATGCCATATCTCATTTCATAGTGATAAGATCCTGTTTCAGTAGTGAAATGCTGCGTTAACGTGTCTTGTAATGTCATCCACTGTTTTTGAAACTCTGGGGAAACACAAAAAGGAGATAGAGGCCACGCTCGGCCGGCAGGTGCAACAGTCCCCACCCTTAGCCTGGTGATATCTGAGGACCTGTGAGAAGCTTTGAAGTAACTCATGACTTTCCCCCTCCTCTCACTCCTTCCTGTTCAGGCCTGGAAGAAACGCTGGTTTATCCTGCGGAGCGGCCGGATGAGTGGTGACCCCGACGTCCTGGAGTACTACAAAAATGATCACTCCAAGAAGCCCCTGCGCATCATCAACCTGAACTTCTGCGAGCAGGTGGATGCAGGCCTGACCTTCAACAAGAAGGAGCTGCAGGACAGTTTCGTGTTCGACATCAAGACCAGCGAGCGCACCTTCTACCTGGTGGCCGAGACGGAGGAGGACATGAATAAGTGGGTCCAGAGCATCTGCCAGATCTGCGGCTTCAACCAGGCAGAAGAGAGCACAGGTACAAGACCTTTCTCGGGAGGGAACAGGTGCCTCCTGGCCGTGGGCTGGGCCGTGGCTGGGCCCCTGCGGCCAAGGTGACGGCCTTCAGACTCCTTGAACGAGCAGAGCGGGCTTCAGGGGAAGGCTGTCCTCTGAGGTGGAGGAGGAGTAGGCGGAGGGTGAGAGTGTGAAGGGGCTGGCGCAGAGCAGAGGGCCTCCTAGCCCCGAGTCTGCTCACGTGGAAAGCAGGCGTGTCGGGGTTATGAGGAAGCTCAAGGTACTCGGTGGTATTTCTTCAGGCGCCTCCACGCCACGCCGTTTCTCAGGCCTGCCCCTCTCCCCTCGGCTGCCTGGCTCTCTGTGCCTGGTTAACTTGTCAGCCGCACATGGGGCGGCTTGCACCTTGCTCTCTTCTTCGATCCATCCTCTGTCCGTTCCTGTCTTCTGCTTCAGAACAACCTGCACAGTTATACTCGCCGCTTTTCTGGCAAGGGGAGGTGTGGGGTTCTTTGTGATTACTGTTGATGTACAATCCACTGTTCTTTATGTTTCCCTGGGAACGGACACACGAGAAGGGGGGAGTTCTGACTTGTGTTTGGATTTTGTTAGCCTTCACAGAAAGAGTAGCTCAACATTTTTAAGTGAGGCTTCAGTTGCAGAATTGCTCTTTGACATTTGTTTGGTCTCATCCCCAACTCTAGGATGATTGAGGAGTAGGGTTTTTTTTTTTGTGTGTGTGTGGCAGATGGAAAGCCTAAGTTAATAGTTTCCTAAACCTGGTTACATATCAGAATTAAAGAGGAGCATTTTTTAATGTTGATGCTGAGGATCCATATCAAATCAGTTAGCTAAGAATGTCAGGGGTGGGACCTAAGCATCAGTCTTTTAAAGGCTTCACACTGAGTAGCAAGGGTCTGGGACTCAGCATCCATATTCTGTAAAAAAAAAAATTGAAAGCCACATACAATCTCTTGATTCCTATACCTGTTTTCTAAACTTTTTAGAACCCTTTAAAAACATGAAAACTGTTTCTAGCTCATCAACATCAGCCCAATCTGGGAACCTATTGGAAATGAAGATTCTTAAGCCCCACCCAGACTTAGTGAATCAGAAACTCTGTAGGTGTTTTAACCAGCCCACCAGGTGATCTGATGCATGGTTAAGTTTGAGAACCACTGATTTAGACTCAATATCAGAGTGGGGTTTATGGACGAACAGTATCAACCTCTCCTGGGAACTTGTTAGGAAGACAGAGGACTTCTTCTCAGACTTACAGGATCAGAATCTGCATATTTTTTTCAGTTTCTTATTCTGAAATAATGTTGGACTTAACAGAAGAAATTGTACAGCAAGTTCCCATGTATCTTTCATCCAGCTTTCCCTAATGTTAACACCTTTCTTAACCAGAGTATAGTTGTCAAAATGTTGATTGGTACAATACAGTTAGTTGCAGTGTGTTGGGATTTCACTTGTTTTTCACCAGTGTCTTATTCTGTTCAGGATTCGGTCCAGGATAGCATATTAGATTTGGTGGTTCTGTCTCTTGGGCCTCCAATCTGGGATGCCAGTTTCTCAGACTCTCTTGTTTTCTTTGACTTTGACACTTTTAAGGCATACTGGCTAGATATTTTGTAGAATCTCCCTCAGTTTGAATTTGTATGATGTTTTTTCATGATTTAATAATTGAGGTTTGGGGGAGACTACCACAGAGGTAATGTGCCTTTCTCTGCGTGTTGTATTAGGAGACACATGGTATCTATATGCCATATTACTAGTCATGTTACCTTGATCACTTGGTTAAGATGGTATCTGACACCTTCTTCCACTATAAAGTTGCTATCTATGCTTTCATAATTAATAAATAGTTTGGAGGAAGTACTTTAATGATGAGCAAATACCCCATTTCTGCTTAAAATATTGCCCACTAATTTTAGCATTCATCTGTGGATCACATTTGCAACTGGTATTACCGTGGTATCCTAATGAAATGTTCTATCTCCCTCAGAATTGTATTAAGATACCTATGTGATTTGTAGGCACATTAAAATTTGAGGAGCTCTGGTCTGGATTATTTGTCCACAAACCTGGTGGGTCATCAGAATCACCATAGAAGCTTTCATCTTTTAATTCATGGGTACCGATTCAGTAGGTCTGACTTACAGCTGCAAAATAGTTTTGAGAAACAGCTCCTACAGAATGGGAGGAATTATTTCCAAATCATATCTGATAAGGGTCTAGTATCTAGAATATAAAAAGAACTATTACATCTCAGTAACAAGAAAAATAACCTCATTTAAAAATGGGTAAAGGATCTGAATAGACATTATTCCAGAGAAGATATACAAATAACCAGTAAGCCCATGAGAAAATGCAAAGATATTGGACATCCTTACTTATTGGGGAGATGTAAACAAAACCACAATGAGATAACACTTCACACCCACTAGGATGACTGTAATCAAAATATGGACAGTGACCAGTGTTGCCAAGGATGTGAAGAAACATACTTTGCTCGTGCATCCCACCTCATATGTTGCTGGTGGAATGTAAAATGGTACAAAGGAACCTGTTTACAAAATGGAAATTGATTCACAGATACAGAAAACAAATTTACGGTTACCATGGAGGAAAGGAGGGTGATAAATTGGGAGATTAAGATTGACACCTACCCACTATTGTATATAAAAGATAATAAGAACCTACTGTACAGCACAGGGAACTCGGTTCAGGACTCTGCAGTGACCTGTATGGGTTTGGAGTCTAGAGGAGAGTGGATTCGTGTATTATGGATAGTGATTCACTGTACAGCAGAAATTAACACACACTGTAAACCAAATATACTCAAACTAAAAAAAAGTATGTGTGTGTGTATATATATATGTATAATGTGATATATATATACACATATATATGGTCACATTTTCATTATCCATTCATTCCTCAGTGGACCTTTAGGTTCTTTTCATGTCACTCCTACTGTAAATAATGCTGAAATGAACATGAGGGGGCAGATAACTCTTCCAGACAGTAATTTCAGTTCCTTCAGTGATATATCCAGATGTGGAATTACTGGGTTGTGTGGTTCTACTTTTAATTTTTTGAGTAAAACCTCCATACTGCTTTGCATAGTGGCTGTACCAATTTATATTCCCACCTCCAAGTCCACAAGGGTTCCCTCTTCCCCATATCTCTGGTCACACTTACCACAATCTTTTTGATACTAGCCATTTAACAGGTGTGAGGTGGTATCTCATTGTGGTTTTGACTTTATTTGCATTTCTGTACCTGTTGACTATTCAGATATCTTCTTCGGAAAAAGGTCTATTCAGGTCCTCTGCCCATTTTTAAATCAGATTATTTGAGATTTTGCTATCAAGTGATATGAGTTCCTTGTGTATTTAGGGTTTTAACACCTTATCAGATACAAGGTTTGCAAGTATTTCTCTCCCATTCCTGAGGCTGCTTTTTCATTTTATTGATTGTTTCTTTCGCTGTGCAGAAGCTCTGTAGTTTAATGTAGTCCCTCTTGTTTATTTTTGCCTTTTCTACTTGTGCTTTTGGTGTCACAGCCAAAAAAAAAAAAAAAAAATCATTGCCAAGACCAATGTCAAAGAACTTTTCCTCTGTGTTTTCTATTAGGATGTTTATAGTTTCAGGTCTTACATTTAAGTCTAATGCATTTCAAGTTAATTTTTGTGCATAGTGTGAGATTGGGTTTTAATTTTATTTTTTTTGCATGTAAATATCTGGTTTTCCCAATACCATTTATTGAAGAGACTTTTCTCCTTTGAGTATTCTTGGCTCCTTTATGAAATGTTGACCATATACTGGGGCTTTTTGTTCTGTTCCACTTGTCTGTGTGTCTGTTTTTTTATTAATATGCCAGTACCATGCTGTTTTGATTACTATAGCTTTATAACATACTTTGACATCCAGAAGTGTGACCCCTCCAATTTTGTTCTTTCTCCACATTGCTTTGGCTATCTGGGATGATTTGTGGTTCCATATGAATTTTAGGATTGTTTTTTCTATTTTTGTAAAAAATGCTATTGGAATCTTGATGAGGATTGCACTGAATCTGTAAATGGTTTTGGGCGGTATAGACATTTTAACAATGCAGATTCTTAAATCCATGAGCACAAGTTATCTTTACATTTATTTGTGTTGAAGTTCTTAATTTTTGAGTGAGGGGCCTTGACATTTCACTTTGCACTGGGCTTTGCAAATTATGTAGCTGATTGTGCCTGGACTAGATGTTCTTCTCTAGGAATTATGTGATCTTCCTTGAGTAAGGATTATGAAGCCCCATTTGACTCTTAAATTCTTTGGTATAATTTTTGCTTCCTGGGTGAAATTTTTGGTTCTTCCTGACCAAATCTTTGTTATTATAGCTTTTATGGATTTTGTTTTTCATTTTATTTTTTATGGAGGAATAAAATGCTTATGCAAAAAAAAAAAGAAGAAGAAAATGAGGAAGAGGTTTTTAAAAAGCAGGAGAAAAAAGCCAGAGACCCTCTAGTCTCAAAGCTTTCATAAATGTGAGAAGTAAGTCCAAGAAATACATCAGATTTTAGGAAATATGTATAATGGGGTTGGGGAGGAACCAGAAAGCAAGTTACTTTAAACTGAACTATTCTCTTGTGGGATTAGAAGTGTCCCTACAAAAAAAAAAAAATTATCCTTAAAATGTAGCAAAATTTATTGCTGGTACAAATATCTTATTTTTAAATCACATATTTAAAAACCAGTTATTGTCTGAATCCCTACTTTTACTTTATAGAATTTAAGTATGATTCACATTCAAATGTGTATAACTGCATCATCTGGGCATACTTTCTTTTGGTAGGAATATTCATTTGTTCATTCATACATTGTTCATTCACTCAGCAGATCTTTATGGAAGACTTATTCTGTGACAGTCCCTGTCATAACCACTGAGGCTATAGACTGTAAAGATGAACAGCAGAGTTCCAGCACTCAGACATCATAGTCTAGTGGAGGAAACAGACATAACCAGAC